CAGTGCTGAGTTGATAAGATTAATATTTAACCGCTTTTGAACATCAGCTAGCTCATCTTTATTTATTAGCACTTGTTCATTAATATTCATGAAGTGCTTCTTATTCAGATCCTTCAGAACAGGCTTAAGTTTTTTGAGTTTAGCATGAAATTTATACATTTTATAGCATCTAATGTCTTGCTCCCACACTGACTTAAATACTGAGAGAAAATTTGGATGACTTGTCCACATTTTGAAAAACCTGAATGGTTTTTTCCCACAAAATCCTGATCTTCTATTATTATTAAAGCTGGAGAGTGGTCTGAACAGTTTGGCACCAAATATTCTACTTGACTAGAAGTATATTGATGAATCCACTCCTTATTAACTAGGATTCTATCTAATCTATTCCAAATTCTTGTATCAGCTTCCTATTTGTTACACCAGGTAAAAAAACACTCAGTAGTTTTAAGATGCATAAGCTGAAAAGAGGTAATAAAAACATGAAAGTCTTTAGTGTCTGAATCAGATACTATTGCTCAACCTATCTTCTCTCCATTATTGATAACTGAATTTAAATCGATCACCTCCAACAATCCATGGATGGGTAACATTTTGCTTGAAAGATAGAAGGCCCCGCCAGAGAGATTTTCTTCCAACCATATCATTAAGAGCATATACTATAGAAACTATGCATGATAAGCTGCCATCTTTTGACATTATAGAACATGTCATAAATTGATCTGAGGAAGTAATATTTTACACTGTGAGAAGATCACTATTCTAGAGAATCCAAATTCTGGCACTATTAGCTCGATGAACATTTGAAATCCATTCCCAATCCTTTACCACTTTCTTAGCTATAGACTGCATCTTATCTCCAACAACATTTGTTTCTAGAAGAGCTATAAATGGAAGGTTATATTGGCAAATAAATTGCTTAACAATCATATGTTTAGAGGATTTGTTAAATCCTCTAACATTCTAGATAGCTAAGTGCCTTATAAAATTAACCCACCCCTATCATTGCTATAGGGGTCTAAATCATGTACCTGATGATCCAACAGGGAGAAGTGAGATACTTGAAAAAATGATGTTCCAGGATCATTTGTTTTAACATTAGCATGTGTTCTCTTTGCAGAATTATCTCCGTTGACACTAGTAAAACCAGTAGCATGCACAGTTGGAGATGAAAATTGGTGAACAGAAGGTAGCCCAGCAACACTATGACTGATATCTACTATTTGTGCATGTTTTCCAGAAGTTTGCATTTCATTTCCAGCTTGCCCAGTATTAATACAAACATTCTGAGCATGTTTTTTAGGCACATCCTTTCCAGGCTGCCCAGATATCTCAACAGTGCCTTGATGTACATGTACATCAGGATTTTGTGCATTTGCTCCAAGATTCTTGTTAACAGGAACCCATCTCTTTCTACCAGTTTGCCTTCTACATTGTTCAGTAATATGTCCAATTACATTATAAGAATTGCACCACCTTGGTTTTAGCTCATATATTACTTTTTGAGTATAATAATTCCCATCAGGACCTTGTATAACAAGTTGATCCGGTAGAGGTAATTTTAGGGGTAGCTTTACTTCCAGCAAAACTCTAGCATAAGATAATCTTTGCCTTGCTGCTGTGAGTTTATCAATGGTTATTGGGTTACCAATGAGGCTTGCAACCTTACTAGTCCTAGTAGGGCTCCATAAATTCAGACGTAAATTTGGGAATTAAACTCACATATGGTAATTATAGTCTTGAAATTTTTCTATATCTGTATCTATTGTCCATGGCTTTAAAGCCAAGGGCCTTGAACCAAAAAACCATGGTCCTACTTCCAGAACATCACTCATTTGCTTTTCAGATTGAAAATCAAAGAGGAACACACCTTGCTTGATTAAGTCAATCGCAGGAATAGAGATTTTACCCTATATATAGCTTTTTAACATATGTTTCCAAAGATTTGAATCTAATGTTTAATGCAATAACATGACCAATCAGAGCGTATTTCCAGTAAGCTTCCCCTTCCCTTCAATTTCCAATAAGCTTCCCCTTCCCTTCATTCCTTCGTAGAGAATGTAACAGTGTTAGCTTGAGGGGATGGAACAAAATTTAGATTTAATCCATTTTCATAATTCCTATTATCAGCAAACAAACTAGCAAAGGATTTCAGAGCTTCGGAATCATTATTATCTAATCTATTAACATTCCCCTTGCTGGCATGACCTGAAACATCATCCCTAGCTTCTTCTAGATTTGTATTTTCAGTTTCAGCATTTGCATTCATAGATTGTTCAGCATGAGAAACAAGATCTTCGAAATTTCCCTCAACCAAAGAGACATTCTCAAGAAAACCAGATTCAATATCCTCCTCTACTTCATCCGCCCAAAGGATAGAGATCGAAGGATTACCTAGCTGCCGAGATATCAGAAGTCCAGATCTCAGTTGAGGCAATTGAGGATCTGATAATGCATTTGATTTAGCTAATATTTCCTCCATTTGCACTTTCTTCTTAGCTCCCTTAGGCCTAGTACTCTCCATTACCGCTGAGCTCGAAGAAGCCTCCACATCATCCGAACCTACTCCTCCATTGGATAGAGAAGGATAGACAAATATTGAATCACACAGCTCACTATTAGGGATTTTCTTACCCTCACTCTTCTTCTTCTTCCTCATTTGAATCTAGACGGAGGAGCACGATAGCATCAAAACCGTCTGCTAATGTTCGCCTTCAGACCGCCCCTTTCAGTAGAGTTAGCATACTAAATACAATCCATGCATCACAACTTGAAAGACCTAGTAGTATACTAGCAAGTTGATGGCTACATGGCCTTCTCACTTTGCTAAAACTCTCTCAAACACTTGTTGAATATGAGGATCAAACCTACATCGGGTCAAAACTGACCCGACCTGAATAGACCCGATTGACTCGTTTGCCACCGATTCCAAGGTATTACTTTGATGCACTTCTGCACTGTAGAATACATCCTTATTCTGCAGAGAGACATCTAAAATAGGCCATATTGAGCTTGTGTACTATATAATGGTAAAGGCCCAGATCAATTTCCGGTCCAGTTTTAATAGTGGCCCTAAATTCATAATATAAAAAACGGGCTTTAGCCGAAACAAACCGATTGCCATCTAAGTGCATTCTGCAGACGACCATCCATGCATCTTTGCGCTAAAATAAAACAAGCATACGCCTCTTATCCTAGCCAGTTAATAGTTCGAAAATTCAGCAGTGTGATCGATTCTAAATTAATCTCGCAATTATTTAGAAAAGAAAAAAAAAGTAGGTCTTATATGAGTAGGTGTCATCAATTGAAAGCCAAATGTGGTTGTTGACAAGGACTAATTAATCATTAATAATATGATGAAGGTAAAATTAGTGATCATTAACAGTAACAAATCACCAAGAACACATTATTAATTTCAAAAGAGAAGGCCTCAAGGGGTCCAACTACATCTCAGTATAAAACTAAGATATACTAAATCAATGGATATCTGGTGAGTGAACCAACTGAGCAAGCAAACAAAATCTCTTCACGAGCACAATAAAGCCAAAGTCCTGAGCAACTCATGAATCAGTGCTAAACTTGGATACTTCTTCATACTTCTATATATTTCTTTCTTCGTACTGGAATCGGTGCTCTTCTCAATTACAAGAAGAGATCAAATGGGTCTTATGCGGTTCTTGAAGATGGCTATTGTGCTCATTGTCATCTCCTCTCCAGTCTATGTTCGTATTCAGGCTCTCAACGTTGGAATCCAGTCAGTTGGTTCCGATATTGCATCGGTCTGTTTCTTCTATATATAATCAACTATGCTTATCTTTTCTTTAATGTAAATGTTGGGTTGTGTTGATGGCTTGGGAATTGTTGTGCAGAGAGAACAACAATGCAGCAAAACTTGTGAGTCTGATCACTGCTCAGGTTTGTATATGTTGGATGGGCCTCTTGCCTTGAACATCGTTCTGTTACTTGACATTATGAATTCATAATGCATCGATCAGAATCTGCACAGGTTTTGTATTGAACTTTAAAGAATCTAAAATTTCTTGACCGTTTGGTTTGAAAAGTGACAAAGTCAACATAGAAAATACAAGCATGTGCGCATATGAAAACATGTAGTTGAAGTTTGCTATAAGTTTATCATAAATTTAGGGGATTTCCATATTCTCTTAACCTGAAATCGTATATTTTTGTGATTTGTAGGACATTTAAGCATATACTGAATGCATTTTCTTGTCGATGATGGTGTTATTATGTGCAGTGCCTCCTTTCTTAAGATATGGCAAGTACTGTGGGATTTTGTACAGTGGATGCCCAGGGGAGAAGCCATGTGATGGATTAGATGCATGTTGCATGGTCCATGATGCCTGCATCGAGGCTAAAAACAGTTATGTTTCTCTTATTTCTTTGATTTTGATTTTATTTTTGTTCATTTCTTTGGTGAATTTATGATCATGTCTGTAATCATAGCCCATCATTGTGTTATAAATGGCTATTCTGCGACTAAACAAGGATGCAGGCATCATAAACGCAAAATAATGCAATTTATAAAGCTTTATCCGTTTGATCCATTTTGCTTACGTATGCAGGGATAGTATTAGCTTGAAATTTTAGGAACATACTAGAAATGCTTGTTTAAGGATGTCCCACAATAAAAAAGTTTTTTTTTTCTTTTTTTGGATATTACTTTAATCTTTCACAGTTTCAAGTTAGTTCCTCATATCATAGAAATTGCTATTAGGTTCTCCGATTGTTAAGATACGTTGAAACCGGTCCCTCCAATTAAGAGCAGAAATAGCAATTGGTGTGATTAATTTGAAACAACTTATGAGAATTGCGGGGTGTAATGGCAATTTCTAAGATTTGAGGGGCTACTGTCTTAGACGTATTGGGTAGGGAACAGAGAAGGAAACTTGTTAACATGCTGGCTGAATGTTTGCAGATGACTACTTGAGCACAGAATGCAACTCCAATTTACTAGAATGTATTGCTGCATTCAGAAACTCCGATGACCCGACTTTCACAGGGAACAAGTGCATGGTTCAGGAGGTGGTCGAAGTTATCACCCTCGTCATCGAGGCTGCTGTCTTGGCTGGAAGAGTTCTTCACAAACCCTAGCATATAACACTGGGAACAATAGAGGGTCACCTGATCCTTTGTTATAAAGTCTTGCGTTAAGTTCGATCACATTGGTTCTGTACTTAGAAAACAAAAACATAATAATAAATCCACCAAAGAAAGTTTCTTTCTACAAGAGCTATGCAAAGGATAGAGTCACCAAACTATGTACTCTGTTCCTTGCACCTTGACAATATTAATTTCTGCGAACCCGTGACTGTATCAAAAACCATTTTTTATTAATTTTCCTAATATTCCTTCTTCCAAATTTATGTATGGTTTGGAGTTACTGCGAGCACCAACTGTTGTGTGCGGCGGCCAAACTGATAGGGTGCCGAGAACAAATACCAATGCCGAGAGAGAAAGCAAAACAATCCAAAATAACGGCACAAACCCAAACAAACAAATTTTACGTGGTTCGGCAAGTTGCCTACGTCCACGGAGCAAGAAGGGGATGAGTTTTCACTAATAGAGAAGAAGAGTACAAATAGAGATTACAAATTCACAAACTAATCTCTCACACAAAGCTCTCAATCTCTCAAACAAAACCCTAACCAACAGCTCCAAAAAAGACACTTTTCTGTGCTCCAAATATCCCCAATTCTGCTCCCAAGAAACCCTTAAACCGTGTTTGTGTTTATACCAAACACAAATCTCAAACAGAATAGGAAACCGCAATCAGGCCCAACCCCGACTGGCGGTCGACCGCCGAAATCATCGCCGTCGACCGAACAGAACGACAGAAAACACAAAATCTATTACAGGGTTTGCGGTCGACCATACTTGACGCTGCGGTCAACTTACTAGAGCTCCAGAAAAACCACCCTGTAGCATGCACGTTTCCGATCGACCACCCCAAAGCTCACGGTCGACCGGCAAGCACCCAAAGCTCTGCCTACTCCAAAAATCATGTTCTTCTCTAATGTTTTCGCTACTTCTTCAATTCTCCATCTCGGTGAAATTTTTTCAAAACTAAGCCGACACCAATACTAACCAAACGTCTCACTGGTTTCGTACAGTACGAAGTGGAATCAATCCACGAAAACAGACTCAATCCACAACAAGTCGAGAACCCAAACGAGAATGCAAACAAACTCCAAATATCGGTATCAACTCACCAAACTGGCTACATCAAAATGAGTGCCTACATATCCTCTTGCCTAAGGAATCAAGCCTCATGTAGTTCATCAAATGGCCTCTGAAGGCTCTCAATCAACGAGAAGAGTTTTTAACATTTCTTCAACATCACCAACAAATCTGTAACTGATAACCTCCCAATGACCTCAAAGTGAAACGAACCAAACACCTCCACCGGAGGTGAACTAACGGCCATAGCCAAATCCGAACTGTGTCCACCAGCTACACTCGAATCAACAAACTCATCATTTGCATCCACATCAACATGATCCCCAATCTGTGTCACCTCAACTGGAATCCCAAACGATACAGAATAATCTGGAGAAAGTAGAGTAGCATCACTCTCCACCGTTGTGATATCCCAACAATTTTCCAACACTCTCCTCCTGCTGAGAGTCAAATATGACATACCTGCTTAGAACGATATCAGAGTCCAATACCTAATAACCAAACATGATTCTGAGTCCCAAATATGTACTCGGATCAAATCTCACATCCTGGATGTGACAATATGTTGGGCGACCAAATATCCGAAGCAATAAAAAATCTGAAGTAGCTCTACCAGATCCAAATACTCCAAACACAGCAATCAGCAACCTATGAATAAGATGACTTCTATATGTTGAAGCCTCAACACCAGAACTCCCCTACAAACTAATGCTCGATATCAAACACCGATCCTCCTCCAACAAGGAGTGACTCATCAAATCTACCACCTCATCTCGTCGCCTCAATATTTCCTCTCCAATGAAGTGTCTCAAACTGTCATGAGCTTAACACAAATGCAGAAAAGAACTTCTACCAAAAACAGAATAACATGTTACCTTTTTGCCAATACACTTCCTCCTTAGAATAGTTGCAACCCACAAACGCCTAGAATAGTCCCAAACATAGGAAACCAAATACCGATTACCTCTCGATAATGCCTCCTTAGAAGGCCCCCAAATGCCGAATGAACATCACCTAGAAGACCCTTCGCTCGGTGAATAGAAGTACCAAACTCCACCTCGGTCATCTTGCTCATACCAATGTGCTCACAGGACTTCAATTTATAGGTCAAGGTACTCCTCACAATCCATGCACGGTATCAACAATCAAATATCCCAGCATTAACAAACACCATAGTCTAGTCAAATCCAAAGAAGTCGTCAGTTCTCCACTAATTATCATGCTCCCGGTCATATAGTACAAATTCTTCTTTCTGACGCCCTTCATCACAATCATGGACCCAAATATGACCTTCAAAGATGCATCCTCTAAGGTCACTTAATAGCATGCTGCCTCCAAAACTCTAAGTGAAATGATGTTCTTCTTTAACTGCGAAACGAACCTCACTTCATCTAACTCCCAAATCACCCCGTCATACATCCTAATACAAACAGTAATGATACCACTAATAGGGCATTCATGATCATTACACATGAGCATAACATCCATTCTTTCCAACTCCTTAAAGTTGGAGAACCAATCCCTCCTAGGACAAATATGGTAAGAAGCACCCGAATCCAACATCCACTCTGTAGAGTCGGCAATACAAACTGACGGTAGTGTAGGGCACGAGTAGTCCGAAGAATCCGAATTTGAATTGTCGTCACTAACTTTGGTAACATTCAACTCTGAAGCTTGAATAACTTTTTTGTTATTTTTCCCGGCTCGATCTGTCAACTTTGGGCATTCGTCTTTCCAATGTTCATCTTCTTTACAAAAGGCACATTGATTTATACCAACTGCAGGGTGTGCTCCTCTAAACTATGACCTCCTACTACGGTTTGAACTCTTTCCTCTTGCGACCAATGCCCCACTACTGTATCAATCGAAGCTTCCTTATCCTTCTTCCGAAGTTGATAATTCACAAGTACAGCGGTGACCTCGCTATACGAAAGAGATGTCTTCCCATTAATAAGAGTAAGAACAAATGTCTCATATTTCTCGTCGGGCAAGTAATTCAATAATAACAATGCGTTGTCCTCATCCTCAATCATAACATCTACATTCGCCAAATTCGTAAGAAGATTCGTGTAGTGGTTTATGTGATCACCAATGGAGGTCTCCTTCTTCAATTGGAAGCGATAAAGACTCCTCTTCAAATACAAACAGTTTTCCACACTCTTTGTCAAATACATGCCCTCTAGGATCTCCCAAATCTTCTTTGCTGAAGTCTCATTGATCACATCATATTTCAAATCTTGTGTTAAACAACACCTAATCACACCACACACTGTTCGATTCATCTTCTTTCAAACCTTTTCCTCAATGTCGTCTGATTTTCTGTCCAACTCCAAAGTGTCTTCCAAATTTTGCGCGTTGAACGCATCCAAGACTTCACATCTCCAAAGACCAAAATTGTTAGTGTCATTAAATTTCTCTACATCTATCTTCATAGAATGAATATTCAAACTTTGGACGATCTTCACGTCCGAAGTACCCTCCACCGCTCCTTTTTTCTCAACCATTTTTCTCAAAGCACCAACAAACCAATGCGGAACAAACAAAGAATGGATCCAAATAAAAAGAGAGATTTTTTATACCTCCAAGTGAAACCCTAATAAGAGCCTCCGAAAGATCTCAACCCCACATGACGGAAACGAGATCCACAATAGTAAAAATCTCACCTTTATCACCAACTGAAACCCTAGACAAGCTTTCAAAGAGATCTACTCCACCTAATTCCAAGCGTAGCCAATGCTCTGATACCACTTGTTGTGCGCGACGGCCAAACCGATAGGGTGCCGAAAACAAATACCAATGCCGAGAGAGAAAGCAAAACAATCCAAAATAAAAATATAAATACAAACAAATAAATTTTACATGGTTCGACAAGTTGCTTATGTCTACGGGGCAAGAAGGGGATGAGTTTTCACTAATAGAGAAGAATAGTACAAATAGAGATTACAAATTTACAAACTAATCTCTCACACAAAGCTCTCAATCTCTCAAATAAAACCCTAACCAATAGCTTCAGGAAAAAACTCTTTTCTATGCTCCAAATATCCCCAATTCTGCTCCCCAGAAACCCTAAAATCGTGTTTGTATTTATACCATACACAAATCCCAATCAGAACAAGAAACCGGAATCAGGCCCAAACCCGACTGGCGATCGACCGCCGAAATCGTCGCGGTTGACCAGACAGAATGACAGAAAACACAAAATCTATTACAGGGTCCGCGGTCGACCGTACTTGACGCCGCGGTCGACCGACCAGAGCTCCAGAAAAACCACCCTGTAGCGTGCACGTTTCCGGTCTACCGCCCCAAAGCTCGCGGTCGATTGGCAAGCACCCAAAGCTCTGCCTGCTCCAAAAATCATGTTCTTCTCCAACGTTTTCGCCGTTTCTACACCAACAAACTAGAAAGTTTAGTGGCGGAAAATACTGCTCTCACAACTCACTAGAATCCAATCGGAAAAGGCCAGCTAAATAGTTTGTTGCAGCGGGGGAGGCCCAGTAGGTCATATGGAAAAACCATGTCCTTACCTCGCAGCGGGACTGAGTTCGATTCTCATGTGTGCCAAAGGCGAAAAAAAAGAGTCTATTGCTTTTACTTAAAAATGTTAACGTACTGACAAAGACATAGCAACATCCTATAGCTCTAGCCTCTAGCTCATCACGGGTGTCATAGTTAAGTTTCACCTAATTGCAATTAATCAACGACCCAATCTTGGGGCATAATTTCAGCTTGTAAAGGTAGACTTATATACACACACACGCACTTAATTTCATTATAAAGAGTTTATAAGGAAAGAGGCATCACATATATAGCTAAATTCAATAGCAGATACATTAACATTTTACAGCCTGCATTTTCATTAACCTACCACTACGAGGTACATGACACAATCAATCAAGTAAAGTTAACACGAGTGAAGAGCATTAACCTCAGTTTACCTCTCTGAAACAGTAGAAATACTAATATAAACAAACAAGGCCGAATAGCACATTAGATTAAAGCCGCGGGCTGAAGCCCAGAAGCCTGCTCTTATGGCAGAAATCTTAAGTATAAGCATGTACACAACTAATAAAAATCTAAGAGAAACTCTATTCGAGGTATGATTTCCACACACCTGAGCAAAATAAAA